TCTTTCTTTCAAAAATCAAAAGAAAAATTAAAATCAAAAATCAAAAAAAAAATATTTCCCTTTTCTTTTAAAGCATTTCTTTCAAAATTCCATAAAGAAAAAAAAAGAGTTAGCTTATTTACCTTATTTACAAGAACTACGCTTGGTCTGATTCATGCGGGGTCATGATACGTAGGCAATCTCCATAGGATTCGACCGTAACCCTAAGAGAAAAGGAAAAAGGGAGGAAAGAAAATAAAAGAAAAAACAAGAGAGGAAAAGAAACAAAAAAGAAAGAAAAAAAGAAAATCGAGAGAAAGAAACCATAGCAAAAATCAAGGGCAAGAATGAAAGAAAAGGAAAGAGGAAGAGCAAAGAAAAAAGAAAAAAATGAGAGAAAAATCAGAAAAGCAAGGAAAAGGCAGGAAAAGAGGGTCAGAATAAAGAGCCGGAATGACGCATGCAATCGTTGCAAACATGTGGACACACATTTAACTGTATAGGTGCATCACGCCTCAACGTGCGATTACCTATCTGTTATTTGCCTCAAACTAACCGTTTGCTGCTTTCACTTCCAGTCTAGATTTTATATAAACAGTGGTTGGTTTTTCTGTGGAAAACTGGCATCACATCAGTATTTTACCAGATCAAAAGGGAGCATAGAAATGTCTTCGGAAATGACCTTGCCAGCAATTCCCATCCCAGAAGATAGCCCAATGTGACGACCCAAAGGGGTCATCTCCTGTATTCCTACTCCCTTTGTACTTCTGAGGCCGTTAAAATCTCATTTGGGGTTGCCTCGAGTTATGTGCGCAGTCCGGGCGCGTAGCCGGAAAAGTTTAAATGTGGAATTGTTAAAAATAATAAATTTGATGTTTTAAATTGATTGAGTTTGACTTTGGTCAACGTTTTGGGCAAACGGACCCGGACTCATGATTCGACAGTCCCGGAGAGTCCGTAGGAAATTTTGGGACTTGGGTGTGTGCCCGGAATAAAATTCCGAGGTCCCAAGTCCGAGAAATGAATTGTTGTGTGAAATTGTTTCTGAAAATAATTAAAGAATTTGAAAGTGTTATTTGATCAAAAGACTGTGGTATCGGGCTCGTATTTTGGTACCGACGCCCGGTACAAGTCTTATATACGGCTTAAGTAATTTCTGTAAAGTTTGGTCGAATTTGGACGTCGTTTGACGTGTTTTGGACTAAAAACTCTAAACTTGATGTTTTATGAAAATTGGAAGGAAATCCTGGGTCTTGAGGCCTAATTTGATGATTATGATGTTGTTTGGGCGATTTGATCGCACGGATGAGTCTGTAGGATGTTTTTGAGCTTATATGTATGTTCGGTTTGGAGCCCCAAGGGCTCGGGTGAGTTTTGACTAGGTCCCGGGAGGTCTTAGCCTAGAAAAAAAATAGCAGATGGTTGCAGGTTCAGGGGTTGCAGGCCCCCAGCGCGGCCGCGGTCATTTTCGCGCGGTCCGCGCTGGAAGCCGCGCGGCCGCGGTGCATCTCTGCGCGGTCCGCGTGGCTAGGTTCAGAGGGCCAGTGAAGTCTGGGTCGACCAGCGCGGCCGCGCACCAAATCAGTGCGGTCCGCACTGGGAGATTCAGAGAGTGGGTCTTGGGTCCATTCAACCAGCGCGGCCGCGCACCAAATCAGTGCGGTCCGCGCTGGGTAGGTTCAGAGAGTCACTTTCTTCCCTTCCTCAGCGCGGCCGCGGTGCATTTTTGTGCGGTCCGCGCCAGTCTTCAGCACAATATATAAAGTCGGGATTTTCAGTCATTTTTCACTTTTTCAAAACCCAAAACATAAGAGGCGATTTTCCAAACTATTCAACTTCTTCAAAACGATTGGTAAGTGATTTCTAACTGATTTTCTAAACTCCTTAACATCCTTAAACATAATTTCAACTTCAAAACAAAGATTTTAATGGGGAAATTGGGAATTTAGGGTAGAACCTAGGTTTTCTAAAATTGGGGGTTTTGGACCTCAATTCGGGGTCCGATTCCAAAATAACTTACATATTTGAGTTCATGGGGGAATGGGTAAACGGGTTTTGGTTCGAACCTTGGATTTTGACCATGTGGGCCCGGGGGCATTTTTGACCTTTTGGGGTAAATTGATGAAAAAGCCATAATTAGTCATGGGGTTTAAATTATTTAGCACATATTGATAACATGAAGTCCTTATTGCATAGATTTGGTCGAGTTGGAGCCGAATTCGAGAGGGAAAGTGGTTGTGGAGGATTGTATTGGCCGCGGAAGTTGAGGTAAGTGTTTGGTTTAACCCTAGCTTGAGGGAATAGGAGTCGAGTCTTGTTTGCTAATTGCTAAATGATCGAGTACGATGTATAGGCATGGTGACAAGTTCCTATACATTGGGGTCTAGCATGACCGTGAGTCCTTATATGTGAGTTGTTTGGATATTGTTATGCCTTCCATGTCATTGATGGCTTCTATACGTGGTAAACACCTTGTGAAAGATATTGTGATTGTAGGACTTCGTGGAGCATTGGCTCGGTCTGAAATACAAATGGTGAGGGTATGTGAAATGAGAAATGCCTTAGAGCTTGACACGAGTGCTAATGAGAGTTAGGATATGGAAATGAAAGAAAAAGAGAAATAACGATTTACTCTCGCATGGTTGTTATTGGTTGTTTGTGTACCCTTGTTGGGATTTCCTTCCAATTACTTGTTCACTCCTTTACCCTTTAATTGTGACTGTTGCTTGGGCAAGGTTGAGAGGTATACATTACGGATCAGGTTGCGCGCCGCAACAATGTTATATGAGGATCGGGTTGCACGCCGCAACAGTGATAATTGTGGATCGGGTTGCACGGCGCAACAGTGATAATTGTGGATCGGGTTGCACGCCGCAACAGTGATAATTGTGGATCGGGTTGCACGCCGCAACAGTGATAATTGTGGATCGGGTTGCACGCCGCAACAGTGATAATTGTGGATCGGGTTGCACGCAGCAACAGTGTTGAAATGTATTAGGGTCGGGTTGCGCGCCGCAACAGTTATTGAAGCAAATGTGTTTAGTGTTGGTATTAGTTTCTTGTTCGCCTTAAATTTTATATTGCACCTAGATTGATTACTTTGGATTTACTGTTAATGTTGTTAGCTCCCCACAGCATGTTTCCCCTCTCATACTGTTAGTTGCTTTGTACTTTGATTTTTGTGGTATATTTATAATTGCACAGGTTTATGTGAGGTCCAGTCTAGCCTCGTCACTACTTCGCCAAGGTTAGGCTAGTCTAGCCTCGTCACTACTTCGCCAAGGTTAGGCTGGGCACTTACCAGCACATGGGGTCGGTTGTACTGATACTACACTCTGTGCATTTTTGCACAGGTCCAGGTATTGAGCAGCAGCAGCAGCTTTAGCACGGGGGCGAACCTTCAGTCCAGAGAGACCCGAGGTAGCTTGCAGGCGTCCGCAGGCCCAGCGTCTCCCTTCTATCCTTACATTTGGCTGCATCTCATTGTACCCGAGATAAACAGATTATGTTTCTTTCAGACTTTGTATGTAGTACTCCTTAGATGTTCGTGAGTATGTGACTACAGTCCCGGGGTAGAGATATTTGAGTTGGAACTTCTGTATTATCAATCTTTTATCTACATCTAAGTCTTCCGCTTATGATTTAATTCGTCGCCTTTATTTTAATGCGGTTTATTGTTATAAAGGAACATGTGTTTAATTAAAATGGTTAATTAAGTTGGCTTGCCTAGCTCCTATTAGTAGGCGCCATCACGACCCCCGAGGGTGGGGATTCCGGGTCGTGACAAGTTGGTATCAGAGCTCTAGGTTACATAGGTCTCACAACTCACGGACAAGCTTAGTAGAGTCTGAGGGATCGGTACGGAGACGTCTGTACTTATCCCCCAGAGGCTGCCAAGTTAGGAAAAATCTCTCCTTTGTTCTTTCTTGTCGTGCGGTTTGGTTTCTCAATGCTAATTGAACTTCTACTCTGTTTCCTCGCAGAATGGCGGGAACACGCGATTCCTCATCTTCAGACCAGCAGTCCGAGCCCCAGGCAGCTCCCGCTAGGGGCAGAGGACGAGGCCGTGCTAGAGGCCGAGGTTGAGACAGAGCTCAGCCCCGAGCAGCAGCGCCAGCAGCGGAGCCTCAGGTCGGTTTTGATGAGGAGGTTCCGGCCCCAGTCCCAGCAGCGCCAGTGGGCCCAGCTCAGGTCCCAGAGGGGTTTATAGCCACCCCAGTTCTTCAGGACGCTTTGGTCAGATTGGTAGGCTTTGTGGAGAGCGTCGCTAGAGCGGGTTTGCTTCCAGTAGCACCAGCCACTTCTCAGGCTGGAGGAGGAGTTCAGACTCCTGCTACACGTACTCCGGAGCAGGTAGCTCCCCAGGCTCAGGTTCTAGTGGTTCAGCCAGCTGTGACAGCTCAGCCGGGTATTGTGACTCAGACCTATGTCCGTAGATGCTTTGTGGAGACTAGATAGGTTCACCAAGCTCTTCACCACCACATTCAGCGGTGCTTCTTCAGAGGACCCCCAGGATTTCTTGTGTAGCTGCCATGAGGTTCTTCGGACTATGGGTATTGTGGAGACCAATGGGGTCGACTTTGCCACTTTTCGTCTAGCAGGATCCGCCAAGACTTGGTGGAGGGATTTCTGTTTAGCCAGACCAGCGGGGTCGCCAGCATTGACATGGGATCAGTTTGCAGAGTTGTTTTTGGAGAAGTTTCTCCCAGTTACTCAGCGAGAGGCTCTTCGCAGGCAGTTCGAGCGTCTCCAGCAGGGCTCTATGACAGTCACTCAGTATGAGACTCGGTTTATCGATCTAGCTCGCCATGCTCTTGTCATACTCCCCACTGAGAGGGAGAGGGTGAGGAGATTTATTGATGGTTTGATTCGGCCGATTCGTCTCTAGATGGCTAGGGAGACTGGTAGTGAGATCAGCTTTCAGGAGGCGACCAATGTGGCCCGCCGAGTTGAGATGGTTCTGGCGCAGGGGGGTAGCCATAGAGTGGACAAGAGACCCCGTCACTCAGGTCGTTTCAGTGATGCCTCATCTGGAGGCAGGGATTCCCATGATAGGGCCAGCCCTCCAGGACTTTCCAGTCAGCCCTCGAGGTCTCTCAGGGTGCCCCAAGTGATCGTGGTTACCGTGGGCATTATTCTGATCAGCAGTCCCTCAGTGTACCGTCAGCTCCCATCAGCGCACCGCCACTCCAGAGTTTCCGCGGAGGTCATTCAGGTTGCCAGGGCCAGCCACAACGTTCACAGGGGTGTTATGAGTGTGGTGAGTATGGTCGCATCAGGAGAGCTTGCCCGAGATTGAGGGGTACTCAGTCGCAGCAGCAGGGTCCCCGTCCTATGATTCAGGCACCGGATGCTCCACAGCCAGCTAGAGGCGGAGGTAGAGGCCATAGAGGTGGAGGTAGAGGCCATAGAGGTGGAGCTCAGACCGCCAGGGGGGAGGTCAGCTAGCAGCAGATCGACCTAGGGATACAGTTCAGGGTGGTGGGGCCCAGCCCCGTTGCTATGCACTCCAGGCTAGGCCCGAGGCAGAGGCCTCAGATGCGGTGATCACAGGTACGGTTCTGGTTTGTGATCGAGATGCTTCAGTACTATTTGATCCAGGATCTACGTATTCATATGTTTCATCTTATTTCGCACCATGCTTGGTCATGCCTAGTGATGCCTTGGGTATTCCGGTATATGTGTCTACACCGATGGGTGACTCTATCGTGGTCGACCGAGTCCATCGTTCGTGTGTTGTAGTGATTGGGGGTCTTGAGACCCGTGTAGACTTGTTGCTCTTAGATATGGTTGACTTTGATATCATTCTGGGTATGGATTGGTTATCACCCTATCACGCTATCTTGGACTGCCATGCTAAGACCGTGACTTTAGCCTTACCGGGTATGCCTCGCTTAGAGTGGAGGGGGACTCCAGGTCATTCTACCCGTAGTGTCATATCGTACGTGAAGGCTCGACGTATGGTCGAGAAGGGGTGTCTGGCCTATTTGGCCTATGTTCGTGATTCTAGTGCTGAGGTCCCTCCCATAGATTCTGTGCCTATTGTCCGGGAGTTTCCCGATGTTTTTCCTTCGGACCTGCCGGGTATGCCACCCGATAGAGATATCAATTTCTGTATTGATTTGGCTCCAGGCACCCAGCCCATTTCTATTCCGCCATATCGTATGGCCCCGCCGGAGCTGAAGGAGTTAAAGGACCAATTGCAGGATCTGTTAGATAAGGGTTTCATTAGACCCAGTGTTTCGCCTTGGGGCGCGCCAGTGTTATTCATCGAGAAGAAGGATGGGTCGATGCGGATGTGTATAGATTACCGCAATTGAACAAGGTAACAATTAAGAATAAGTATCCACTGCCGAGGATTGATGATTCGTTCGACCAGCTTCAGGGTGCCAGGGTATTTTCCAAGATTGACTTGAGATCTGGCTACCACCAGTTGAGGATTAGGGCATTCGATGTCCCTAAGACAGCTTTCCGTACTCGGTACGGGCATTACGAGTTCTTGGTCATGTCGTTTGGGTTGACCAATGCCCCAGCAGCATTCATGGAGTTGATGAACCGAGTATTCAGGCCATATTTGGACATGTTCGTGATAGTCTTTATTGATGATATTTTTGTGTACTCCCGCAGCCAGGAGGAGCACGAGCAGCACTTTAGAGTGGTTCTTCAGACTCTGAGGGATAGTCAGTTATATACCAAGTTCTCCAAGTGTGAGTTCTGGCTGAGTTCAGTAGCATTTCTGGGTCACGTTGTATCAGCTGAGGGTATTCAGGTGGACCCGAAGAAGATAGAGGCAGTCAAGAACTTGCCTAGACCAGCATCAGCTACGGAGATTCAGAGTTTCTTGGGGTTAGCAGGCTACAACCGTCGGTTTGTGGAGGGGTTTTCATCTATTGCAGCCCCGATGACCAGGTTGACCCAGAAGGGTGCCCAGTTCAGATGGCCGGAGGAGTGTGAGGCGAGCTTTCAGAAGCTCAAGACAGCCCTGACTACGGCACCAGTGTTGGTCTTGCCCACAGGATCTGGGCCTTATACCGTCTATTGTGATGCTTCCCGTATTGGACTTGGTGCCGTATTGATGCAGGATGGCAAGGTTATAGCCTATGCTTCGAGGCAGTTGAAGATTCATGAGAAAAACTATCCAGTGCATGATTTAGAGTTGCCGGCTATTGTCCACGCCTTGAAGATTTGGAGGCACTATTTGTATGGCGTGGCATGTGAGGTGTTCACTGACCACAAGAGTCTTCAGTACTTGTTCAAGCAGAAGGAGTTGAATTTGGGACAGAGGAGGTGGTTGGAGTTGTTGAAGGATTATGATGTCACTATTTTATATCATCCGGGGAAGGCCAATGTGGTGGCCGATGCATCGAGTAGGAAGTCAGCCAGTATGGGCAATCTTGCTTATATTCCAGTCAGTCAGAGGCCGCTTGCTTTGGACGTTCAGGCTTTAGCCAATCAGTTCGTGAGACTGGATGTTTCTGAGCCCAGTCGTGTGTTAGCTTGCACGGTTGCTCGTTCTTCGTTATTGGAGCGTATCCGTGATCGGCAGTTTGACGACCCCCATTTATGTGTCCTTAGAGACACGGTGCAGCGAGGAGGTGCCAAGCAGGTTACCTTAGATGATGATGGTGTTTTGAGATTGCAGGGGCGAGTTTGTGTGCCCAATGTCGATCGGATCCGAGAGTTGATTTTAGAGGAGGCCCATAGCTCCAGGTATTCCATTCACCCGGGCGCCGCGAAGATGTATCAGGACTTGCGGCAGCACTATTGGTGGCGTAGTATGAATAAGGATATCGTAGCATATGTGGCTCATTGTTTGAATTGTCAGCAGGTTAAGTACGAGCATCAGAGGCCTGGTGGTTTACATCAGAGGATTGAGCTTCCCGAGTGGAAATGGGAGCGGATTACTATGGACTTTGTTACTGGACTTCCGTTGACCCGGAAGAAGTTTGACGCGATATGGGTTATTGTTGATAGGCTGACCAAGTCAGCACATTTCATTCCTGTGGCAGTCTCTTATTCTTCTGAGAGGTTCGCTGAGATCTATATTCCGGAGATTGTTCGCCTTCATGGTGTGCCCGTGTCTATCATTTCGGATCGGGGTACGCAGTTTACTTCACGCTTCTGGAGAGCGGTTCAGCGAGAGTTGGGCATACGGGTAGACTTGAGCACATCATTTCATCCCCAGACGGACGGTCAGTCCGAGCGGACTATTCAGATTTTGGAGGATATGCTCCGAGCTTGTGTCATTGATTTTGGAGGTTCGTGGGATCAGTTCTTGCCTTTGGCGTAGTTTGCTTACAACAACAGCTACCAGTCGAGCATCCAGATGGCTCCTTATGAGGCTTTATATGGTAGGCGATGTCGGTCTCCGGTTGGATGTTTTGAGCGAGGAGAGGCTCGATTGATAGGTACGGATTTGGTTCAGGAGGCCTTGGACAAGGTCAAGATCATTCAGGAGAGGCTTCGTTCAGCTCAGTCTAGGCAGAAGAGTTATGCAGACCGTAAGGTTCGAGATGTAGCTTTCATGGTTGGTGAGCGGGTATTGCTCCGAGTGTCGCCTATGAAGGGCGTGAGTCCTGAGATTTGGGAAGAAGGGAAAGCTTAGCCCTAGGTACATCGGCCCATATGAGATTCTTGATCGAGTGGGAGAGGTGGCTTATAGACTTGCGTTGCCGCCCAGCTTATCAGCCGTGCATCCAGTTTTCCATGTATCCATGCTTCGGAGGTATCACGGTGATCCTACCCACGTGTTAGATTTCAGTACTGTCCAGTTGGACAAGGACTTATCCTATGAGGAGGAGCCGGTAGCAATTCTGGACCGGCAGATTCGTCAGTTGAGATCCAAGAGTTTTCCTTCTGTCCGTGTTCAGTGGAAAGGTCAGCCTCCTGAGGCGTCGACCTGGGAGTCCGAGTCTGATATGCGGAGCCGTTATCCCCATCTTTTCCCCGACTCAGGTACTTCTTTCTCTTGTCCGTTCGAGGACGAACGGTTGTTTTAGAGGTGGAGAATGTGACGACCCAAAGGGGTCATCACCTGTATTCCTACTCGCTCTGTTTTTCCGAGGCCGTAGAAACCTCACTTGGGGGTTGCCTCGAGTTTGTGTGCGCCGTCCGGGCGCATAGCCGGAACGTTTAAATATGAATTTGTGAGAAAAATAATAAAATTCTGATGTTTTAATTGATTAAGTTTGACTTCGGTCAACGTTTTGGGCAAACGGACCCGGACTTGTGATTCGACAGTCCCGGAGGGTCCGTAGGAAAATATGAGACTTGGGGGTGTGCCCGGAATCAAATTCCGAGGTCCCGAGTCCGAGGAATGAATTTTTACGTGAAATTGTTTTCTGAAAATAACTAAAGAATTGGAAAGTGTTATTTGTTTAGAAAACTGTGCTGTTGGGCTCGTATTTTGGTTCCGACGCTCGGCACAAGTCTTAAATATGAGTTAAGCAATTGCTGTGAAGTTTGGTTAGATTTGGACGTCATTTGACGTGTTTTGAGCTAGAAGCAGTAAATTTGATGTTTCATGGAAATTGGAAGGAATCATGGGTCTTGAGGCCTAATTCGATGTGTTTTGGCGATTTGATCGCACGGATAAGTCCGTAGGATATTTTTGAGCTTATGTGTATGTTCGGTTTGAAGCCCCGAGGGCTCAGGTGAGTTTTGAGTAGGTCCCAGGAGGTCTTAGGCTAGAAAAATAGCAGATGGTTGCAGGTTGAGGGGTTGCAGGCCCCCAGCGCGGCCGCGGTCATTTCCGCGCGGTCCGCGCTGGAAGCCGCGCGGCCGCGGTGCATTTCTGCGCGGTCCGCGTGGCTAGGTTCAGAGGGCCAGTGAATTCTAGGTCGACCAGCGCGGCCGCGCACCAAATCAGTGCGGTCCGCGCTGGGTGATTCAGAGAGTGGGTCTTGGGTCCATTCAACCAGCGCGGCCGCGCACCAAATCAGTGCGGTCCGCGCTGGGTAGGTTCAGAGAGTCATTTTTCTTCCCTTCCTCGGCGCGGCCGCGGTGCATTTTTGTGCGGTCCGCGCCAGTCTTCAGCACAGTATATAAAGTCGGGATTTTCAGTCATTTTTCACTTTTTCAAAACCCAAAATATAAGAGGAGATTTTCCAAACGATTCTACTTCTTCAAAACGATTGGTAAGTAATTTTTAACTGATTTTCTTTACTCCTTAACATCCTTAAACATAATTTCAACTTCAAAACAAAGATTTTAATGGGGAAATTGGAAAATTAGGGCAGAACCTAGGTTTTCTAAAATTTGGGGGTTTTGGACCTCAATTCGAGGTCCGATTCCAAAATAACTTACATATTTGAGTTCATGGGGGAATGGGTAAACGGGTTTTGGTTCGAACCTTGGATTTTGACCATGTGGGCCCGGGGGCATTTTTGACCTTTTGGGGTAAATTGATGAAAAAGCCATAATGAGTCATGGGGTTTAAATTGTTTAGCACATATTGATAACATGAAGTCCTTATTGCATAGATTTGGTTGAGTTGGAGCCGAACTCGAGAGGGAAAGCGATTGTGGAGGGTTGGGAAGTGATAATTGTGGATCGGGTTGCACGCCGCAACAGTGATAATTGAGGATCGGGTTGCACGCCGCAACAGTGATAATTGAGGATCGGGTTGCACGCCGCAACAGTGATAATTGTGGATAGGGTTGCACGCCGCAACAGTGATAATTGTGGATTGGATTGCACGCCGCAACAGTGATAATTTGTGGATCAGGTTGCACGCCGCAACAATGTTGAAATGTATTAGGGTCGGGTTGCACGCCGCAACAGTTATTGATGCAAATGTGTTTAGTGTTGGTATTAGTTTCTTGTTCGCCTTAAATTTTAGATTGCAACTAGATTGATTATTTTGGATTTAATGTTAATATTGTTAGCTCCCCACAGCATGTTTCCCCTCCCATACTTTTAGTTGCCTTGTACTTCGATTTCTGTTGTATATTTATAATTGCACAGGTTTATGTGAGGTCCAGTCTAGCCTCGTCACTACTTCGCCGGGGTTAGGCTAGGCACTTACCAGCACATGGGGTCGGTTGTGCTGATGCTACACTCTGTGCATTTTTGCACAGGTCCAGGTATTGAGCAGCAGCAGCAGCATTAGCACGGGGGCGAACCTTCAGTCCAGAGAGACACGAGGTAGCTTGCAGGCGTCAGCAGGGCCGGCGTCTCCCTTCTATCTTTACACTTGGCTGTCATCTCATTGTACCCGAGATAAACAGATTATGTTTCTTTCAGACTTTGTATGTAGTACTCCTTAGATGTTCGTGAGTATGTGACTCCAGTCCCGGGGTAGAGATATATGTGTTGGAACTTCTGTATTATCAATCTTTTATCTACATTTAAGTCTTCCGCTTATGATTTAATTCGTCGCCTTTATTTAATGAGGTTAATTGTTAAAAGGGGACAGGTGTTTAATTAAAATGGTTAATTAAGTTGGCTTGCCTAGCTCCTATTAGTAGGCGCCATCACGACTCCCGAGGGTGGGGAATCTGGATCGTGACAAGACATGTCGAAAATTTTGCTCTTCTAAAGTATAGAAATAATAATAAAACTAGGAATTCTCTCATAAGTGATCATATTTAGGAAGCCATGGATAATATGGATATCCATATTATCCGCCGGATAAATCCGTTTTTATCCGTCTCAAATATGGATCGAGTCGGATAATTTATCTGCTTTTTAAATTATCCGTTTTGACCCGCTCATATCCGACCCGACCCACCCGTTTGCCACCCCTATTGGTGGGTGGTTCATATTGACAGATAAGGAATGAACTTCTCATTTTCTAAGTGAGCTATACAAATATTTTACAGTAAGTTTAATTTGAGTCAATTACTCAAATGGTCACTCAACTATCTCAAATTATCTCTTAAAGTCACTTTTCTTTCGTTCGTAACAACAAAGTTACCGAACTATGCTTATTGCACTCAGAAGGTCACTCAACTACATTTTTCAAATTTTGAATTGCCAAATACCTATTTTACCCTCTAAATTATAAATATTTTTTTAAACTTGTTAATATTATAATTTTCCCTTTTTAGTTTATATTATGGACTTACCTATAGAATAAATAAATATTATTTATAAATTAAAAAATAAAAAGTATTTAAGCATTGTTGGAATAACAAAATAATGAGCATAGTACAAAAATTAATTAGAATAATTTATTCGTAATAATAATTTTAGTATTAACAACAAAAATTCAAAAATTTATTTACACAATTCAGAATGAAACAAAATAAAGGTTGTAAAATATATATTCCATGCACGTAATATAAAAATAATTATTTAAATAAAAGTATTTTCATAATATACATTATATATTCTTGCAAATTATGCCCAATTATATTATATATATATTCCATCCACGAGTTAACATAGCATATTTTACTTATACAGATAGTCCCACTGCTTTCCGGTGACATAACCTTGTGCGTCGGAAAGCTGGTAGAAACATAATATTATAATTGAGAATTGAGCATAATTTTCAAGAATATATAAATGTATATTATAAAAATATCTTTATTTAAATAATTATTTTTATATTACGTGCATGGAATATATATTTTACAATCTTTATTTTCTTTTATTTTGAATTGTGTAAATAAATGTTTAAATTTTTGTTGTTGATACTAAAATTATTATTACTAACTAATTATTCTAATTAATTTATTTTAATATTCTCATTATTTTGTTATTCCAGCATTATATATGCTTAAATACTTTTTATTATAAATAATATTTATTTATTCTATAGGTAAGTCCACAATATAAATTAAAAAGGAAAAATCATAATATTAAAAAGTTTAAAAAAAATAAAAAGAAAATAAATGTTTATAATTTAGAGGGTAAAATAGGTATTTGGCAATCCAAAATTTGGAAAATCTAGTTGAGTGATCTTCTGAGTGCAATAGCATAGTTCAGTGACTTTGTTGTTACAAAAGAAAGTAAAGTGACTTTAGGAGATAATTTGGGATAGTTGAGTGACCATTTGAGTAATGGTCTCAGTTTAATTTTATATATCGGTGCTCATGATCATATTTTGTTAATGGAGTTATCTATGTTACAGTATATTGGAAATAGGTGTCGTGCTTCGCACATGTTGCTATATCATTCATAAGGACAGACTGCAAGAAGACAATCTCATAACTTAAAGAGAGTATTGTATCCAAATGCTTTCCCTTTTTGTTTTGTCTTGGCAATATAATGATTTTTGCTTTTTGGAAATTACGTATATTTTACCTCTTTACTGAGTGATTTTATAATATTTTTTTAGAAATAATCTCCTTTAGTTGCTTTTTGGAAATTACGTATATTTTACCTCTTTACTTAGTTGATTTTATAAGCTCATGATCGTATAAGTCTATTGCTTATAAAGGATGCTATATTAGACTGTTCTTTACGTTCGCTAAGATGCAACCATTTCTTATGTTATATGTGCATAGTTGACGATGCTTTTGGTGAATTGAATAGGACTAGAGACCGGCAGTGCTCTGTGTTGTCCTATGCACATATTTTGCGAGAAGATAGCTTGGGTTATGTCACGTCAGTGGCCGACTTTAGTTGTAGATCTAAAGGAAACTTAAAATTTAACTAAAAAATGTTTACAGACGGCACTAAATCTTTTTACCCAAAAATGTAAATCTTGATTCAAATAATTAATTTAAATAAAACAAAGATTAATCTTTGTTAAGAATAATTTCCTCAAATCTTAATGTCAGAAAAAATAAATGATATACGTTTATGAGAACAAATATAACACTATGTGATAGATGTCTTTAAATAATCAAGAACACCGGCAGAGTGTATGATATTCAATAAATGATGTAGATGGTATTTAAGTAAATAAGAGGAATAATTCAATCAATAAAGGGTGGAATAAATAAATATTCCACCTAACAATGATTGAACAACGAAACCTCGTATAATCGAGTATCTCTTGGATGTGATGGTAAAAGATAGATGACGATCTTAGTGAAAAGTAAAATCTTGTATTGAGTGAAAACTGAATCTTTTTCAAAGTGTTGTTATTACAATTAAATTCATGTGCCCCTATTCAATCCCCTTTTCCCTTTATATGGGACCCACTCCCAAGAAACCCTAATAGTACAAATAATGAATATTCTTTTTTCAGATCTTATCTTGTAAACTAGCTGTTGCAACTCTATTACCGATACTCGAACTCGACATTGATCCCATGTAAGAAAATTACTATTTTTAAAGAAAAAATAAATTGAACTTGTATTCCAAAAGTAGGGGTGTTCATGGTTCGGTTTGGATCGGTTTTTTCCTAAAAAGAAACCAAACCAAGTAAGTCGGTTTTTCAAATATTAGAACCAAACCAAACCAATTAAGTCAGTTTTTTCTCGATTCGGTTTATGTCGGGTTTTGTCGGTTTTTCGGTTTTTTCGGCTATTTGTCGGTTTTTTCTTAAATATAAGACATACACTACCAAACACATATTCCGGCAACCACACTTCAACGTAACACTATCAAATCAATTGCCCTTTGGGAAATCTATTATTTACCAAGATATATTGATGATAATTGAATCAAATAGTGATTAATAATTTAAGGACTCAATTAAAAATATATTATTTTTAACACGAAATGGACTCTTACACCTAACAAAAGAAATCTACCAATCAAACTAGGATGTAAAGGTAAAGAACTATACTAAAGTGCAAACTATTAACATTTACCATAAAAATTTTGAGACTTTGTATAAAAATATACATATATATAGGTGTAATAATAAATTTGAAATAGCTACTCCTATAGTCGGTTTGGTTCGGTTTTTTCTGATTAAAACCAAAACCAAACCAAATTTGATCGGTTTTTTAAAATTTAAAACCAAAACCAAACCAAACCAAGAAGTGTCAGTTTTTTGGGTCGGTTTGGTTTGGTTTTCGGGTTGGTTCGATTTTTCGGATTTTTATGAACACCCCTATCCAAAAGTATAATGGGTGCGCAATAGTAAGAACTAAAGGTTGAACCCATAAATTTATATTTTGGATCCACTTCTTCTTAATAGTGCACCCATTCTGTTAAAATCATGGATCCGCCTCCATTTTTAAGGTGATAATAGATCAGACAGATGTCCTGGGTTCGAATTTGATCTCCAACCATTATAAAAAATGAATTACATGTGCATGACCATGAAAAAAATTAGGTTAACACGTAAGGCCGACATGTGATGTGAGGAGACATATTGAAACATAATACAATTAAATAATTAAACGTAAACGTACTCTCATATGAAATAGTCACGTAACTCAATATTAGATAGAAATTTTATAGAAAATGAAAACATACACGACGAGGACGAGATGCATTGGCAGATGACCGCGGCGGAACCTCTGACCACGTCAGCAAATCCGTCGCGGGGCTGTGGGAATTCCGTACAGGTGTTGCTTTCTTCATTGTTGCGCCACCGAGTTGCGACTACTCGGTGAGTCGTAGTGTTGAGTTGGAAATCTTGTATTGTTATATCCCGGCAGCATCTTAAACAATGTTATATTATTATCTTGGTTTTTATTAGTTTCTTTCCGCAATTGTTTCTTTTTCCGCATTTGTTAGGCTTACCTAGTCGTAGAGACTAGGTGCCGTCACGACTGTTCACGGAGGGCGAACTTGGGTCGTGACAATACCCATTAAAACCTCTTCCTCTTCCAATATAGGATAATGTCCCTTTGCCAAGCGGGGAAAACTTAAAATTTCACTCAAAAATTTCGTTTCCCTCCATTTCCCATTCACCCTATTTTAAGCCTCATCAATGCTTAAAACCCCAACACTCCATATATTTCCTTCTTATTCTCAATTTTTCCAGTAAAAATAACAAAAAATAACTCAATGATTAAGTCTTATATTGGCCACGTCGTTCGCTACAACTCTGCAATTGCAGTGAGTACTCGTTCCCTTGAAAAATAATCAATTAAGGAGCTCCTGGCTTTAAAAGCTTTTGCTCTTTGATAGGCTATAGCCTTCTTCCTCATCTATTGCTGCTTCGGAGGAGATTCTCGAAGACGTTGCTCTGAAGATCGAAATGGGATCCCCAAGGAAATGGTTCTCGCAGATGTTGCTCCCGAGGATGTACCCCGGAGAGTAGATTAGACTTCTAGCTGATATTTTTTGCTTCTATCTTTCGGTGTAAGGACCCCTTGTGGGCTGTTGTAATCATCGTTTATTAATACAAAAATGTTTCTTCAATTTGTCTTTGACTTGTGCTGGATTTCCTTTTGCCTGCGTTTGTAAAAAATCCGAGCATGTGACTTTATCGATTGGTCCAAATACTGGACCCGTACGTGGGCATTCCCTTGGTTTTTGATTGGTTAGTACGATATTTTTTAAAAACCCTTTGACATCCCTCGGACTAAGTCCGGATTGACCTGATAGAAACTTAGGCCGCCGGTACTTCCGACATCGAATTGAGTGAGAGTGGGGCCTCAAATTTTAGGCCAAAACTTAGAACCATAAGTCTCTACGGCATATAGCCTTGTATACCATCGGAGTTGACTCCCTTACCGTCATCTCACGGCATTCTCTTAGGATTTTTACAGCCCTGATTAGGCGAGCTTTATCGTGAAAATACATGCCCTTTGCCAGCACCGTTGGACTAGACTCATCCCATATTGCTGACCAAAACTCGTCAAGATCCCGTGTGAGGGCATCCACATCCGGCATACTTGGCAAATTATCAAGGTAGGGAATATTCCGCTCATGAAAAGGCACGTGGGACTCGTACACTCTTGGTCTAACGGGAGGTGGAAGAGCATGCTCCCTTGTCAGCTCAGGTTCGACATTCACTTCCTCCTCATCATCACCCTCGTCAGGAAATGGTGTGTCATCTCCAGACTCATCGGCATTGTTGTCATAACCACTATAATCTTCCCGACTCTGCGCATCTGCCAAATCACGAGTAAATACGTCGTCTACGGGCAACTGAGTGAGGTCAGGACCATCAAGTTTCTCGTTTTCACTACAAAAAAAGAACAAAATGATAAGCTACTCAATTTGATAAATATTTTACATATAGCTATGTCACTTCACTTACAAGTCGTACTGTGTTGACATTCCATGATGGACATTTTCCTATTGGTGATGACTCCCGGATGGACCACCGTGATCCAACACGCCAGAACTACGCATATTCCAACTGGGCGTGGGGTCATACAAGTTAAATTCATATCCAGACGGTACCGAATATATGAGTGTTAATACAAATTCAATCCAACAAAAAATAAATCATCGTAACAGAAAGGAAAATTGAAGTTTACTAGTCGTCTTGTGGAGTATGTAAAGTAGGAGAGAATATTTCCTTGCTCCTCCTTCGCCCGCGGAGATAAGTTAAGATCCGGCCAAACTCTTTCAGCCGGAACCCGTTGGGCTAAAACTGCTCCAGAATAACCACCCGATGATTGAGGGTTATCCCTCCTTTGCGCAATCTCATTATTGCGAACGTTCTCAACCTTGACGTACATTTCCAATAATTTTATCACAATAAATTTCCTGTATTCATCCGAACCCCCAAAAAATCTCTCAGAGTTTCATCTTCTTCGATGCTAAACTCAGAATAACAAGCAAACCCCTGCGGAATCACAGAATACGGATATCTTCCGGTTATTTTAAGATTCACCGAACGTTTGCTCAATCTCATTTTATTGCATAACAACGATACCAATCTATCGTACTGCATTGAAAGTGGCAACTTAACATGACTCTGTGGAGATGAACTATAGCTCACTGAGTTATTCGCCACCACAACCTCATCCCCCCACCCCCCCAATATAATAGAATCCTTACTTTTCGCTCTTGAGACATTATGAACAAAGCTTGAGAATATAACACCAAAATAAATTTATCACGAAGTTGGAGTATTTCTGAATGATAATTCTCAAAACTCCTAACGCCTTTATATAAGGCAATGCCCAATCCGGGGGGGGGGGGGGATCAAATTTTTGGAAGTAAAATGCGATTTAAAGAGAGTTTTACATATTTGAATTATTGTTATGTCAGTTAAGCGCATAAGAGTTATTGGTGGGCCCACTTTCTATATAAAACGCTCCTAATATTTAGAAGTTTAAAGTCAATTAGAATTCACCTTATATAAATTGTTTGTTAATTGAACTATGCGACATAACTTTAACATCACTAAATTCTTTTAAGGGAAACTTACACAAATGTCCCAAATAAGTCCAAACAAGTTTTAACTTACCAATCTCTAGCTATTAGTCATAGACTTAATAAATTTAGCCAAACACATATAAAAATTGAAAAATCAAATAAATAAGGTTCTTTCTCTCAAAGAATTACATAAAAAATTACCTTCCATATTTTTAAACGTGATTAGAAACATTAGATGCAAGACAGAAAGGAAATTTCATGGATGAGGTACAAATAAGGTGATGAAATATAAAAAGAAAAAAACATACAATATTCCAAAAATCTAAGCAAAACAAGAACTTTTTCAATGGGTATAGTTGAAATTCATTGAAAACATATAGATAAGTCAATATAAAAAATTTGAGGAAGATTGGAGGTGATTTCGACTGGTTTTGTACCAAAATTTGTAATTAAATCGAGTTCAAAATATTTCTGGACACATGTATCAAACATGTATCACGCATGTATCTCACACACAGGTATACATGGATATACATGTGATACACAATTGATACAAATATGATACATATGTGATACACAAATGATACACAATATGCTACACATATCTTTTTTTTACTGTTCAGTTTTTACTTCGAATTTTTAATTCAAACCACCTCAAAACTTCACCGAATCATCCCAAAACTGAGATTCAAGATCTTAAGATGTACCATATCTATTCTAGTAACACCCACTCAAAAGAAAGCAAAAATTTGTTATTTTTTTGCTACAAATAGCTAATTGGCTAATATTAGTAATATTTTATGAATTGACCAATTTTTGTAATGAGCTACTTATAAATGGACATAGCTGGTAGTTTTCCTTTTTAATTTAACTTTGTATGTAATTGCAGATGATAAAAATTGATACCGGGAGTGTGGAGTCGTATTTACATATATTTTTTATCAAAATATATATTCTTAACATCCATAAAAGCATTACAATAGGGATGCTTAATGTGTCACAGTAGTTATAGCATACATGAGCCAACTATTACATATTAGCTAAAGGTAATGTGTGTGCATGCAGTGTTTGGTCTTCTTTATGGTCTTCTTAGCATTTCTTGACAAAAAACACCTGTAAACAAAGCAAAAAGCCAGTTACACAATATTTTCTCTTCTGAACTCCAAACAAATCACCACTCAATAATCTGTACAAATGAGTAAAAATGAAACATTTGACAGTCAAATGAGAAAGCTAACATATCTTCAAGGCAAAAACCATGTGAGACAATGTTAGGAAGTTCAAATAAACTAACATGGATGCATCCGCATTCTTTTACTATGCAATTAATATTGTCCATCAATTCAATTCAAAGTCCGAACTCAAAAACCTTTTAGAGGTCTGGAAGCACTAACGGATCAAAAGATAGAACCGCGCATATGAAATAATACAACAACAACAATAACTAAATCGTCCAGTTTTCAAAAGTATTATCCAATTCCCACATGAGAAGGAAATACAACCTAATTTGTAATTAGTTCCGTTTTTAATTTTATACCGCAGCTCACAAACAGTCAAGATCTATCAGAGATGATGTTTCCCTCTTTGTGATTCCTATGTAAATATTGGCACAAACACGCCACAATAATTCAACCAAATTCTCTGAATCACTACTGTATATTCATGATTTCTTCAGCCAAAAAAAATAAACATCCAAATTTGTCAGCAATTAACCTTTCTAGCTCGGCAAAAGTTTTATGTTAGAAGTTGGAACTAAATCAGTCGTAATCATATCTAATCGTTAGGAAATAGCTGTCAAACTTTTATAGAGATATAGCTAGAAAAAAATGGGGTGCACAAGATAGCTTTTTGTAAATGTTGGTTTAAAGGTCAAAAGTGATTAAGAGTTTGATTTGTAATCAGCTAAACTGACCTAATATCACAGCAGCATATTCTGACTGAAGGAGCATCCAAAAAGCAGCAGCAAAAGCGGACTTAATCGCATTCAAAAACATCTGCAAAAGTGGCTTCAATCGTATCCCATAATAGTAGCAAATGATCCTTTACTGGCAAATGTATCAGCAAATAGTAGTCATTCATTTTTTTTTTTTTTAGCTTTTTCACATAAATGAATCTCATATTAAATAGAAGGTTCAAATATCTTTCAACACTTTCTCAAAGGAAGATTTTCATTTCCATCTCATCTTTATTGTAGGAAGTATTGCTTTTGTTAGTTGTGTGTAGGTGTCTTCCTATGTGCCAATGTGCTAATTTGTTTAATTTTCTGTTTTCTCACGAGGGCATATAATCTCATAGTCAGGGACATCTTTCCAAAGGCACAGGAGTATAGCAATACAAACTGGGCTAAACCTTACCTTACTAATCCTAATGAGGCATAAGAAACCTCACCTACTAACATGCATGTAAAAAGAAAGAACTAGCTATAACTAGATATTCTATGATCATCACAAAGTTTATAACATACTATGTGATAGAGCCCCCTCGAGCTCAGTATATCCTAGCAGGCTCTTAACAAAGGAACAAAGGTTTACAGAAAGAGTCGAGACCAAACAAGGAAAGATACCAGCCGTATGTAAAAGATCGAAGAAACGCCCCGAGGCGTAATATACCTCGAGGCGACCGAAGGACCGATCGAGGTCAAAATTCCCGGGGACTCATGAGTAAAGCCGGGTTCGGTAGGCACGCTGGGCCGGTAGAGGGACCCCGGTTATCTGAGTACAACTTCAACATCAATGTCTCGGACATCGTATCGGCCATAGGTAAAATCAAAGATACCAGGTGGCCAAAACCCATACTCTCAGATCCTTAACGAGGAAACATCCACATGCTACCTAAGGAAGACTCATCAAGTATTCGAGGTTTCTCTTCGATCAACCCCGAACACTGGGGGGCATACAAAAAAAATCAAACTATGTCTAGGAGGACCTCGATAGGAGAATGCTGTATTGGGCCAAACGGTCAAATAAACCGTGTCCATGTAGAATAATCGA